CACATATGTAACGTAGTCCAATTTTATTAATTTTATTTTAATATTCAAATTAAAATAATATTAGAATGGTATGGATTTAATTAATTTAAAAATTAGAAATTCTTCCAAGACACAAAATTATGACTTTACATGTAATTTATATTTCTATAGACATAAGCAATTTAATCCATTATTTATTATTTAAAATAAAAATTTATCAAGTTTAAAAATTACATAACTTTTTTCTGTTATATAATTATTCCTTAAACAAAATTAAAAAGATTCGAGAAAAAGAGATATAAACGTTATTTATTAAACAAATTTAAAAATACTAATTTCATCCGTTAAGCTTTTGATGTTGAACAATCATACATTCTTTAAGTACGCAGAATTGAAAGTCTTTTAGAAAATTTCCGTTACCGAAATTAGGTGTCCACGTGACCAAATCAATTATGTGACGGGTTTTAAATTGCGTTAAATTTAGTAATAGACTTCTTGTAATATATAAATTTTTTATATGGGACCATACAGTATATTTGATTTAATTAGTCCATCTGCCACTCCAATGCAACGTAACAAATTCCATTGCTATCTAGGTATTTAATTTTGTATTGTTAATTCGCGATCACATATATCAGTCGATACGTATATGACTACCGCTACTGAGATAGTGAATCTGCTATATTATGACTCAAATAATAAGAAAACGCATTTTGATAAAATGAGAACTATTCTTTTTTGGATAATTGGGCAAGGGATTGAAAGTCTCAGATGTGATATAATTTTTTGAATTTGATAGAAATTATACCGTATGTTTTGATTTAATTTCAAAATGTTTATAAAGTTTCTTTTAATTACAAGCATTAAACGTACGGTATTAGATAAATCTAATCATGTGATTTTATTGGACTTCAAAATTTTTTATACAGGTAATCTAAACGATACACGGGAATTTTTTGGGAGTTGGGATCAATTTTTGGCATTGAATAGAAAATACTCCATTTCATCATAAATTTGCATTTTGTTTCTTTCTTCTCACCTATTTCGCATTTACTATTTATTATTTTATTTATTTTGCTGAATATTATTCAAAAAAAGTTGGTATTAGTATAAATAATGTGAGATTATTCATTATACCTATCCATTGAGCGTAGGTATCCAAAATAATATCATTCACGATTTATTCTTTATTAGTCTGTTCAAGAAAAGTGGATGAGCGGGCAATCCTGCTTTTTAGTCGTGTTGATATCAATAATAACTAGAGGTGTTTAAGATTATAAACTCTAGAGAATTCTAATCACTCTATCATAATAAGTAACCCATCAAAAATATTTCATAAATATTTTATATTAATTTGTAAAAAGCGAAAATGATATTCAAAATTGGCAATTTTTGATGGGTCCTACATAAATCCTAAAATTTTTAAATTTAAAGAAATTCTAGGATTCCATGAGGGTTTATTATTTATTTTTATTAAGTAGCTCATTAAAATATTATAACAGACAAGTTTAATAATAAATTTGTAAAATAATTCTTTGTAGTTTTCTTGGGACTTTTAGGACCTCATGTGAAATACCAATTATGATATAGTATTTATCCCTATCTAAAATCGTTCATTCGATAATTAGATGATCGATGATCCGTCGATCACTCGGTATAACAGTTGTCGAAGAAACAATTCGATTTGATGATAATTCTGGACTAATATCAACTTCGGATTTACGAAGAGTTTTTTGACGATACCAATACGCGCAACTTACTAATATAAACAGACCCAATACACTTCCAACAATTGAACCAGTGATAATTCCTTTCTTCATTCCTACGTTATTATTAGGATTAGATTTAGAATTTCCATTACCTGATCCATTCGATGGAGATGAACTTCCAACTGCCGATTTACCTCGTATTGGTTGCATAAAATTTGATAAAGTATTATCGTTATCATCATAACTAACGTCAGATATTGATATTCCTCCGAGTGATTTAGCCTTTGCAAATTCTAATTTACTACGTAATGAACTAACATCTTCATAAGATACATACAAAAACTGGAAATTAAGTTCAGCATCGCTATATAGCCATGGAGTACCAGAATTATCTTTTTGATCAAATTTACGTATCCAATTAGGATTACTCGTAGCACAAAATCCAAGTGATGAATTTAGAACGGTATTTGAAAGATTTCTCCATGGCCATGAATAGAGATTAGAATTGTTTTCAGAACAAAAATCTCTGATTGGTTGGATTTGATCATTTAGCTGGTTAAAACCATATAAAGAAGCAGATTTTGGAAAGGTAACAAATTGAGTTTGTTTAATAGCTTCGTTAGGTACCATTTGAATGGTATTCCCAAAATCTACACCCATAATTATTTGGTTACTATTGATTCCAACGCCAAACCACGCTGAATATGCAATTTGGTATGCATCTAATGGAGAATTTGGATATGAATTAAAGTTGTTATTGTCTGGCGCTTTTAAATTTTGATATATACTATTATGATAAGTTTCAATGTTAAGATAATCAATTTCTTTTAAATTTCCAATTACATCTCTACCAACAGTCAACATTAATGTTTTTCCATTCAATTCTTCTCGAAGGTCTTTTAAAAATGTAATGAATCTGTCATCATTATTTTTATCCCATGTGAAATGGTTAGGATCAAGATTTTTAGGATTTTTACATATATTTCCCCTCTTTCCAGGATATTCAATGTCTATACCATCTAATTTATAATCGGTTATAGTTTTATTTGCATCGTCAATAATTCTTTGATAATCTTCATCAGCTTGCTGCCCTTGCGGCCATTTACCAATGTCATAATTTCTTAATGAAAGAAGAATCTACATTATGATTATTAAAACTGTTAATCAGAAATAAATAATTTAATGCTAAATATTAATAAAATTCTTACTTGAGTATTTGCTTTAGTATTAGCTTTAGCACGTTCTTTATCCATAACCAAATCTTTTATTAGGTTTAATTTAACACTAACATCATCTGGTGAACCTCCTGGACGAAAAATAGTATAATATTTTCCTCCATTTGCTTCATTTGGATATGCTAAATTTCAAAATGTAGTTTGTAAGTAATCCATTCCAATTTACGATATGGAAGGAAAAAAGAAGTTTTTATTCTTACCAATAACATTTATATAATCATAGTTATCCCATTGAATTTTTGGTATTTTTGATTGACTAAAAAGTTGGACATATCCTATCGTTTTTTGTTTATTCTCTTCCGCGTATTGCTTAAAGGTTTCTACTATACAATTTTTAGTATTCGCTATATTATCTTCCTGTGCTAACGTTATTAACGCTACTGATAATAGACCATAAAGGATAAAACCCGCAAACTTATTGAAAGGCAAGATTGAATATATTTTTAACATATTTATTTAGCTGTATTTTTAATGCTTTCTTTTATCCTTTTAAGTAAAATTCAAAAATTATAAATGAAACGTTAGACGAAGAGGCTTGCTTGTATGTTTGGTACATAAAACGATCTAACCTTATTAATTAATTTAACAGGAGGTTGGAATTTGATCAATTTTTGAGAGATGTGTTACAGGACATGTCGGTATATGCCCGAAAAAAATCAAATTACTGTATGACATTAACTGAATTACTTCGTCCTCATTCAAACGGAATAAATATATGCAATTTATAATAAGAATGTTGCCGTAGATAAATCTTGCAAAAATATAAATTCTATGCATTTTCTTTCTTTATAACAGCGTCGTTTCTTTATTTTTGCATGGCGCAGCATCACATAGTATTATTTTTTTTGTATATTCAACTATAACTCACGATTGCATAATACTCTAATTTAATGTAATTCCAAAAGAATAGGCTTTTTTTTTTTTTAATTATAGACCTTATTCTTTGCGAATGTATAACGCAAAGGATTGTGTAAAAGAAGAAATGAAGTATATTTAATAATGAAAGAAAACAAATGGGGAGGTTGAAAGTTTGTCGACTTGTGAACATTTGATATTAAAAAAAAAAAAAAAAAAGCATCTAATTTTTTTTTTTTAAAAAAAATGATAGTATGATAATCAGACAAAAGCTGATATTAGACAGATTTATTATAATCCATGTTTATACATATTTACTGATTTATCATGTTAATTATAAAGCTAAATAATTTTCGTCTTCACACAACTTTAAGGAACACCCATTATCTTATTATTTATTAAATAAGGAATTTAAAATATCCACCCGAAGAAATTTCAAATGGTGTTGTAGCTAGGGATCGGTCGGTCTCAGACCGGTTAATCGGTCCTTGTGGTCCACGGTCCATATTCTAAACTATGACTGTGCAGATTTGTTAGAAAAATTCAAAAAAAAAAAATATTTAACCAAATTTCACCTGATATAATCAATTTATTTAACTAGGTAACAGGAAGTCCGAAGCGTTGATTAAAAAATATCACTATAAATTATTTGATCAACCGTAATACAGTGAATTATTTGGTAGATCACACACCACATGCATGGTTTCAGCTCTAACCGAAAGTATCCTACGCTTACGCTTCGGACAAATATGTATTAAACAAAACGTTTATTAAAAAAAGTAACAAGATATGGAGGTTTTAAAGTGAGTTAAAATTAGTAAGAGACTTCTTATTTTAAAATAAATTTTAAATTTTATATGGAACTACACATATAATATATTTGATTTAATGAGTCCAATGCAACTTGATAAAATTCCAAGACTTTTAGGACCGCTTAGGACCCTAATAATAACTTGGAAGTTAAAATATTTAGGTGATCTATACCTTTTCTAACAAAAGTCATAGTAATAATTGGTCATATGTGTTCAATCGCCTATACATTCTTTGTTGAATAAAGGAATAGAACAAATAACTGCAAAAAAAATTCGTTTTTTTTTGCAAAATAAGACGATTCAACATACCTAAATATACTCAAGATGATGCTATTTAATATTAGTATTTAGGTCTGATATCACTAAGAGAAATACCAATTATGATATACCTAAAATCGTTTTAATAAAGTTCATTCGATAATTAGATGATCGATGATCCGTCGATCACTTTGTATAACAGTTGTCGAAGAAACAATTCGATTTGATGATAATTCTGGATTAATATCAACTTCGGATTTACGAAGAGTTTTTTGACGATACCAATACGCGCAACTTACCAATAAAAACAGACCCAATACACTTCCAACAATTGAACCGGTGATAATTCCTTTCTTCATCCCTACGTTATTATTAGGATTAGATTTAGAATTTCCATTATCTGATCCATTCGACGGAGATGAACTTCCAACTGCTGATTTACTTCGTATTGGTTGCATAAAATTTAATAAATTGTCATCATCAAAAGTAACATCAGATATAGAAATTCCTCCGACTGAATTATTCTTGGCAAATTCTAACTTCAAACTTAATGAAACAAAATCTTCATAAGATACATACAAATAATTATTAGGAGTAATACCAGGACTAATAGCGCTATATAACCATGGTGTCTTAGATTCATCAACCTGGCCGAAATTACGCGTCCAATTCAATTGAGAATTATTATTAATAATATTACAATATCCGGATTTTGGATCTAGAGTGGAATTTGAAAGATATTTCCATGCCCATGAATATAGTTTCATTTGATTAATATCATTAACATCATCACCGCAAGGATATTTGATTCGTTTTGTTTGCGCCTCTAAACCTAGACGATTAATATCAAAAACACCATTATTGGTAAAATTAACAGTTTGAGATTTTTCAATTGCTTTGACATTATCAACTATCATTTGAATAGTGTTCCCAAAATCTACGCCCATAATTATTTTTTTACTATCAATTCCACCAGTAATACTCCAACTTTCATATGCCGTTCTGAATAAATTCAACGGAGAATTTGGATATGATCTATAGCTGTTATCGTCTGGCGCTTTTAAATTTTGGTATAAGCTATTATGATAAGTTTCAATATTAAGATAATCAATTTCATCTTTTAAATTTCCAATTATATCTCTACCAACTGTTAACATTAGTATTTTTTTTGGACCTTCCATTCCATTCAATTCCATTCGAAGGTTTCTTAAAAAATTAATGAATTTGCCATCATTTTCTTTATCCCATATAAAATCAGGTTCTTTACATAAACTTCCTCTCATTCCAGGATATTCAATGTCTATACCGTCTAAACCATGATGTTTTATAGTATCAATTGATTCGGTAATAATTTTTTGATAATCGCCATCAATTTGCTGTCCTTGCTGCCCTTGCCCTTGCCCTTGCGGTGGCCCTTGCGGCCCTTGCTGCTCGAGCTGCCCTTGAGGCCATTTACTAACGTCATAACCTCTTATTGAAAGAAGAATCTATATTATAATAATAATTATTAAAATGTTATCATACTAATAATTGAATACTAAATAATTTTAATATAATGCTTACTTTAGTAGATGAATTAGCTTTATCTCTAACCAAATCATCTATGAGTTTTAATTTGCTCACATCTTTTGGACGGAAAATATCATTCCAATCTCCTCCTCTGTCTTGTGGGTATGCTAAGTTTCAAATTCGTAGTTATTTTAAGTAATCCATTCTAATTTATGCGAAACATGCACAAATGTAGAAGAAAAAGTTTTCTCATATTCTTACCAATAACATTTATAAAATCATAATAGCTCCATGGAATGGTTGGTCGTTTTTGTTGGCTTGTGTCAAACAGTTGAACATATCCTATCGTTATTTGCTTATTCTCTACCGGAACTGGCTCTAAGGGTACCATACAATTGCCAGCTATAGTATCTTCCTGTGCTAACGCTATTAACGCTACTGATAATAACCCATAAAGGATAAAACCCGCAAACTTATTGATAGGTGGTGGTAAGATTGAATATATTTTTAACATATTTATTTAACTGTATTTTTAATGGTTTTTTTTTTTTTATCCTTTTAAGTAAAATTCAAAAATTAATAATGAAACGTTAAACAAAGAAGCTTGCCTGTATGTTTGGTACATAAAACGATCTAACCTTATTAATTATGAATTTAACGGGAGGTTGGAATTTGATTCAATTTTTGAAAGATGTGTTACAGGACATGTCGGTATATGCCCGAATAAATATACGCAATTTGTAATAAGATTGTTGCCGTAGATAATTCTTGCAGAAATATAAATTCTATGCATTTACTTTCGTTACAACAGCATCATTTCTTTATAATTTTTACATGGTCACTTTGGTTTATATTAATTCAATTATAATTCACGGTTGCACACTACGACTAATACTCTAATTTTGTGTAATTCCAAGGGATAGGCTTTTTTTTTATAATAGACTTTATTCTAGGCGAATGCATAATGCAAAGTTTTGTGTAAAAAAATGAAGAATTTTTATTAATGAAAGAAAACAAAACAGGGGCCTGTCTAAAGCGGAGTTGTTTTGGCCGGCATTACGGTATTAAGAAATTAAATTTGCCAAGTTCCCGTAAAAACAAAAAATGTGGAGGGATGTGATAAAGGTGACAAATGATTTACATTGATCACGTGATTAATACCGCTTTAGGCATCTAGTTATTTATTTATAGAAAAAAAAGGTGGCATACAGTATAACAATAATCAGACAAAAGCTGATATTAGATTCAAACGTACAAATTTAATACAATGTTTTAATTAAATAATACAATAATCTCCATCTTCGCAAAAGTTTAAGGAAAACCCATTTTCTTATTATTTATTAAAAAAAGAATTTAAAATATCCACCCGAAGAAATGTTAAATTTGTCGTAGCCCAAACGTGATTATGTATTTCGGACTTCCAAATTTGAAATTTTCTATTTGTATCAACCATGAAAATATTAGGACTCCATTCTTGCCAATTTCGTAATGTTAATGTTTATTTGAATTCGCTTATTAAGAATGCTGGTGTTTGGGCATAAAATCTGCTTGTATCATGTGACTTTATAATTTTTAAATTTTCACCCGTATCAACCCTCTCAAAAATTATTAGAATAAATTTGGGATTAGTTTAGGGTTAGGGTCAGCTTAAGGTCATATATCTAAAGTAATTTGGGATTTGGTATCGTATCTGTTATTCTACAAACGTGCTAGTTTGGGACATGGTCTGTCATGACCATGCACCACCCAAGTTTGATTTGGATACGATCAAATTTCGGACATGGGTATCCCAAATCGAAAACTTCCGATTTTGGAAGTCCGAAATTCCGATAATCACGAGAATTTTCCAAGTATTTTTAATATAAATTTAATGAATTTTATTTATAATTAAATTACAATTTAAATATCTCCAAGATCATGGTTAGAATCGCATAACTCCAGCGATAGTAACACCCCAACCATTTAGTATAAAAAATTATGATGTAACATTATTATTGATAAGTTATATAATTACAAAATACAGAATATGATATTATTTTGTCGCATATTTAAACGATACTTGTAGAAGAAGGCTAGGTATCTTCAAAATTTTTTAATCTACCGAAAAAAAAAGATGATTATTTCAAATTAAAATGTTACGATGGAATTTAATCCAAACATCTTTATGAAAAAAAATTCTCCTTTCAAATGATCCTTCCATTAATAATTCTTTAATTCAATGAATAAATAATATTTGGCATCTTCTTTATCCTTTTCACATTCCAAAGTATCAGCAGCTTTAATATCACCAGAAAATAAATACTTCACAATTTTACCAATTAAATAATGTTGAATAAAATAAATATTACATTGATTTAATAGCGCATGTTTCTTTTTAAATTTCTTACAATATTTCAGGAAAAGATTTAAATTTATAGAAGGAGGCACCGTTGGATCTAATTGCACGCCGTTAAAAAAATCTTCATATAATTGACAAGTTTTTTGTTTATTTAAACAGACCGTATATAAATTTGGATTTTTCTCACAAGCATGATGATAATCATATTGATGCTTCAGATCTTGTAATGAAGATACTGCTACAACAAAATCCAAATATTTCTCCATCAAAGCACATCTTGTATCGCTTGAAAGTTTTTTGAACGGTAAATCCCCTTTGTATTGTAATAAATTATCCAAAATTAATTTAGATGATTCTTTATAGACGCATTTAAACCCATACCTGTCAGCCAACACCAATGAAATGAGCGGGCTTTCTTGAAAATTCGCTTTCAAAAAATTATCAGCCGCTTCAATCACCATATTGAATTCGTATTTATCAGCTAATTGACAAAATTCCGTAACGTTTTCCCATGTAATAGGTGTAAAGGTGTGTGGGTATAAATATGCTAATAAATTTTCAAATGTTGTTGATGATGTATCAGTTAAAGTTAAACTCGGTAATTCTCCCTCTGAGGATGATGTAGCGCATGTGAACATATCACGAAATACTTTTGATGCTATAGATAAAATATTTTTATGTATTCGAAATGTCACATCTTGCACCGTTATTAGGATATCACCATCTTCATAATAATGTACTGTATTTTGATTTTTTTGCTTCATTTTTGTAATAGAAAATGGAGAGGGAAAAAATAATTTTTTTTTTCCTAAACGACGGAAACTTATAGCATACGATCTGCAATGAAATTATTAATTTAGCGGCGCAGTATCTCTAGATTGGGTAAATACACAATATTTTTGCTTCATTTTGTACGAATAAAAGGGAGGGGCGGATTGTCTCTAACGTAATAAACTTTTTTAATTTGGGCGTGTTAAATTTAATCTAACGCATGCTTGCCTATAAATCATTTCTACGCTTTTTGGATAGGTATGAAATGTTAATTTGATCACGTGATTAATCACAATAGTCAAAGTAGATCTCGGATCCCAAGACAATGACATGTGAAATAATTTTTTTGCGCTAGCCGTTAATGTCAAATTTTCCCGATTCCAAAATTGTGTCATTTTTTTTTTTTTATCCCGTTTTAGGTTTTATGAGGTTAATTAGTTCATTGAATGGTGATTTCATTGACTAGAAAAATTAAACTTTGAATAATAAAATAATTTGATGTGACTATAGGAGAGTTTATTATATTGATTTATGTATCTCGTCAGATATAAATTGCACAATATATATTTAATTTCACCATCTTTCCTCAATCAAACGTCCAAATTTCTATTACACCATCTGTAGAATAGTGAATTCAAATTATTATAGTAGATTTTCATACAACTAAATTTAAAAAAAATTCTAATATAGTTTTATTGTAGACCTTCTAAGTCGACTCAACCTGCCGCTCTCGTATAAAAATTAGCTGTCATATTAAATCTTAATATTTAACAAAGATTTAATTTGATTGTAAATTATCTATTTTATCACTATGTAAACTTGAACATACATAAACAATACCTGTGATTTATTTAATGCATTACCAACAAAAAATATTTCGTTGTATTAAAAATGTTATGATTTTCCATATGAAAATTGGATATTCGTTTGCAAAATAAATGTTTTTGATATTCGAATATCAAAAATAATGTTTTTATTATCGATTTCCTAAAAATGATATAATTAATTACTTGAACGGAACGGGGTCCCTTCAAATGATATGGGAGGTTTGCTATTAAAATAACGTTACGGATCATATGATTTACTATGTTCGTAACTCGATTTCATCCCAAAATGATCGTTACATGATAACAAACTAAAAAAACTGATGCATGTGATGCAAAATTGAACATCGGATTTTGATTGGCTAATTTTAAGTACACCAGATATATACATTTTTAATTCCAATATTGAAATAATTGTATAAATTTAATAAAGCAATTGTTTATACGTTTAACAAAGCGATTACTGCGCCTTCTTAATCTCGTTATCCATTTCGTACGTTATCATTCAGTAAATCAGTAAAAGTTAATAATATAAGTTAAAAAACGACACAAGAAACGAACTTATGAATCGGTCCAGAATGAAAAATAGAATAAATTAGGACCAGGACCGACTCAATACCGGTCCTGTCCAAATAAAGATGAAAGACCGGACTTTTGGGACCGGACCGTTCCAACCAACCCTAAGTAAGCGAAATGTATAAATTATTTATATTCAATTTGGCTCTTTTTTTTAAAAAAAAGAAAATTATATACGTACGAAACATTTGATTTTATTGGTACTGGCAAAATTAATTCACTTTATATTACTTCATTTTTACTAAAATCTAACCGCTATAGAGACCTCTCTAAATACACACTCCTTGGGACTGGGCTTGAGTGTGTATTTAAGGAGGGAGTGCATTTTGAGGATTATAGGATTTTTTTTTTTTATAAGAAAATATATTGAAACACAGCTAAATAGATCAACCGCAGAGTATTAATTACTTTATTTACACACATTATACTAAAATTATCCTAATCTTTGAAGTACAAAATGTGCACGTATTCTCCAAACATTTATTGCTGCACTTGAGCTTATGATTGATTGCTTAGTCTAGATTTTCACTAATTTCTTCATCAGATCTCTTTTTGAACGTTTCTACATCTTCATAGACATTTGGCTTCTATTTTGTGACTTGAGAAATTACAAATAAGGAACAACCTCTATGCTTTCGTGAAATCTCTAAATCAAATTCCCAAAGCCATTCTTGAAAAGGATTAGCATCCAAGCCTTGGTATTACTCCGATAAGTCATTTGTAGATTGGAGATATTAACATTCTTACATCACCATAGCCTTGCATATATTTCAGTTATTAGAGACTTCAACTTATGAGATCCATTGAAATTCATCACACACAAAAAGAAACTCTTTGTCTTTCTTAGATTTTGCAAGGCATTGTGAGACTAGTGAATGGTCTATTTCTAATCAATAAAAAAGAGCAGTTTCGTCAAAATTATATATTCGTTCAAATGGATAGTAGGCGCACATATTTTATAATAATGGAAGGGTTTTCGTCGACTGAACCCGCCTCTCTATGAAGTTTCTCTCGAATTCCATTACATTTCTTAAACTTATGAAGCCAGCCTGAAGAATTCTGCATTACACCTTTAGGAACTTCTAATCCACTGGTAAGTTTCTTGGCTTTCCCAATAAGTCTTGCATCACTTAAGACTATTCGATATAGATAAATTAACATAAAAGCAAGTTCAAATTTGGAAATAATGACAGATCTATTTCTTTTTTTGGGATTGGCAATTTTAGTGATAAGCCTGGTTTTCAAAATTTAGATTCATGAACTCTAACATTCCATTTCTGTTCAATATAATTTATGTATTTAATGAGACATCATATTATCATAAGCATGAAGGCAGGCAAAGCACGCGTTTTTGAGTATTAATTAGATTGTTCTTTGTTTGGGAGGTATTACTATTGAATTTATTTTTTATAAAAATGGTTAACTTATTCATTCTTCTTTCCTGATGAGACAAACTTCTTTTATGTATTAAAAAAAAAAAAATAAAATACTAATTATTATCATTTTGATCAATCTAAAGATGCCGAAATTATTGTCCGTTCATTAACTTATTATGAAGTCACGTGACGGTACAATATTTATATATAACGAGACAAATAAAAATATTGTACATGAAGAATATAGAGAGTGCATATATTTCCCAAGTTCTAAACCTGGAGCCCGGGTTCAAAAGTGCATATAAGGAGGGTTTAAAAGAGGATGCATTTAGAGAGATCTCTCTGTATAAAGCTGAAGAAATTCAATTAATTATAAAGGTCCTACATTTATTGTACTTAATAATTCTCTCGAGGAAAATTATTGGTAATTAAAAATCTAAAGTTCATCCAAATACCACAAATGCCAATTCGTAAAAAAGTGTCGTATCAGAAAGTTACGTCAACTATCGAATTGGAATATTACTCTGAAAAACGGCATTGTTACCTCAAGCTCGACGTGTCAGACTATTAAGGTTCTAGAAGTTGATACAATTGTTAACCCTCATTCGTATTATTCGTATTTGAAGTTAAAGATGCCTTAATATAATCAAAGGCCTGTCGGAACCTAATTTAATGTATCACTTATAATGTCGAGACCTTTTTTATAGAAGCTGATTTTACTTTGGAATTTATACAAAGTCCAAAGTCGACCCTCTCAAAGAAATCACGAGCATTCAAAAAAAATAAGTAAATGGCATTACATACTTGACTGACGAACTATTAAAGGCTTTGAGATGAGCAATTTCATAACCATTGATTATTAATCAAATTTTAATAAAATATTTGTTTCTTAGAAAGCTCTTTTGTTCTATTAGATTAATTCATATTTAAAATAAAATTTTCAGTTATTAAAATCTTCGGGTTTCAATGCATATTGATAGATTATATTAAAAAGTATATCATTTAAAATTGTCAGTTAAATCACTTCATTTGAGAAATTTTTTTTTTGAAGTCAGGCGATCTCCATGAGAGAATTTTTTTTTATATAATAAATACTTTGAAAGAATAAAAAAATTTAATGTTTAATTATAACTGAAATGGTTGTTGTAACTAATTATAACGAATATAACAAAGCATTAAATAATCCGAATAATCCCGACAGTCGAATTTTAACTTTCCAATAGAATCTAAATTTTTGATTGACAATCACGTGGTTCGTCATTTTTGGCGGGCGGTCAATCATACTTCCAATCGAAATTGAACACATCGAAGAGATAAGTTATATTCACTATAATTGCTTTTGGGAAAACAAATAGCAGTTAAACTAAATATTAATATTTTCATGGCAAATGACTAAATTAAATTTAGATAAGGAAAACCACATTTTAAAATCACATTTAATAAATTATGATCTTTGAATCATAAGCATAAGCAACCCTACGATAAATTACAGGATTTTAATAGAATATTTATGAAATGCCAAAAGAAATCTATTCTTAAAGTAATATACAAAATAATTTGATATAAAAATAAATGAAAAAAAAAAAAATTATTACTTACACTTTACAATCAGAAAATTATATTTTAACAAATATTCATTTTTTATTTTAATGTTTAGAAACCTTTATGCAATATTATAAAGGTTAAACATTATATAAAAGACATAAAGTATAGAAATTAATTGATATATTTATATACAAAGATTACTTTTCTTCAACTATGGAATTTTTAGGTTCACCGTCTTTAATTAAATCATCGTACGTTTGCTAATTGAATATGAACTTTTTGATTTAAAAGGATAGAGGAAAATTTTAAGATTCTATAAAATCATTTAACATTCATTAAATGAACTCTTTAAAAATTCAACACCATATTTTATATAAGTCTTTTTTTTTTAAAAAAAAATCGCATGAATCGATCCAACGTATTTTGCAATTAAATAGAAATAAGCACATCCATTATTTGCGAGTCAGGAACTAAAATAGAGAAACCAAAGGTTAAAAGATAAACATGAGTCAAATATCAATTTCATAACCACATTACCTTCCGAGTCTTCAATTTGAACTCCTGTGGAATTAATTGGTTTAGGGAGATTAGCAAAGCTTAAAAAGCGACTGGTATAAATTGCTTGAGGATGGTATGCCGTTTCAGTTGATTCTTGTGGATCGATTTCATCCGCGTTAAGAAATTCTTTGGCCGTTTCCGATTCTTCTTTATACAATAGTTGCATGTACCAATCATTAATTATTTTACGTAAATCTTGGGCAGAAGGTCTATTTTCTGGATCAGCATCAAGACATTTATCAACCAAATCAATATAACATTTAGGTGTTCCTTTGGCAACTCTAGGCCTCAAACCATTACAAATGGCCAGGGCAAGCTTTCCATCATGAGGTACATTTCCATATGGAGGTCTTCCAGTCGATACCTCTATCATGATGATACCAAAACTATAAACGTTACTTGCAAAGGTGTATGGTTTGTTATCCAATATTTCCAATGCTATATAAGGAAGGACTCCACATACATTCGTGGAGGTAGAAGAACTGGGATCGTTAATTAGCTGTGAAAATCCTATATCAGATATTTTCGGTCCAAAATGGTCGGCTCCTGATAGCATTATGTTTCCACTATGTAAATCTTTATGAACGTAATTTAATTTATGAATCTCGGAAAGATCATTTGAGATTTTATTTAGCAATTTTAATTTGCTTTCCCAATTTAAGTTAAAAGTTTTTAAATAACTTCTCAGGTTTCCGTATTCTGCATATTCTAAAACCATCATAAATTCTTCAATTACAGGAGTTTTTGTTATTCCATAAATCTTTAAAAACAGAACATCAGGGGAACTACATTTATGACGTATAGTTAACTGAATGGAAAACGATCAATTTTAAAAATAAAATTAATAAATTAAAATAATAATCCTTTTTAATAAATCATCTTAACTTTACCTCGTTGATGAAAGCTTTCATTACGTTTTTTGGATTTGTAACTTTTTTGAGTGCGACTGTAATGGGAGAGTGTTTTTTCTTGATTGTACCTCTAGTTTTTCCATCCAACCAAGTAGCAGTATGAACTCTCGCAAAACCTCCTTCACCGATAAGTTTGCCATCGATTAAATTGTCGAAAGGTATCCATTCCAAATTATCCCAATAATGTTCGGTCTTTAGTTGACTTTCATATATCAAGTTATCTATTTCAGCATTTCCGGTTTTCTTACCCTCCCTTAAGAATCGACCCGGATCACATTTATTACACCAGGAATAACCGGTATTCATTTGTTTACAATCAGAACATATCCCGTATAGTTTAAATCGTTCTTTCTCATCCTTAGACAACTCATTTAATTTCTTATAACATCCAATAGCTTTACTTTCTTTGAAAAATTGATTAGTATCACATTCACACCAATCACCCTCACATTTGCAATTGAAACCAAAGTCGTTTTGTTTATCATTTACTTTTTCTCCTTTACTCTTTTCATTTGATTGAATAAGAGTTTCTTCTTCTGTTTGATTATTTAAATTAAATTTAGACTTTATTTGGTTTACAATTTGATTCATTATTAAATGAGATATGAGATATAATAGCATGAAAATGATTTAAAAAAAAAAAAATTATAATTGTCGAGTTTTATACCTTTAAAACCGTTGTAACCATAATTAGATAGAGCCCATGTACAAAAATGCGCTTTGTTTGTGTTGTACTGGTTGATCACAAAATTCATTCGTTATTAGATAGAACTAGTAAAAATCTCTTTGCGGGTAATTAATATGGAAAATTAAACAAATATGCATTGTTCGAACATAAAACTTAATTGCATCGCACATGATGTAATGACGACTTTAAATGTTATTTGCTGATCAATTTCAAAAAAACCAATTATTAAGCTAGGTTAGGTTTTTAGCTTGTTGATCGTGTGCTTATATTTCAACGGGTCAAGTTTTTTAAAACTTTTGACGAAAGTAATTACAAACTTTTGTATGGTCCATAAATTTAGAGAATAATCCAAACTTTTGATAGTCATTAGATTCATATTTACAAAAAATAAAGCAATACATATTTTGTAAAATAATAAATTATAATAATAATGGAAATTGGTTGCGAAAACACTAATATAAATTTATATTATTGTGTTGAAATCAACAAAAACATGTTATCATTGATATTTTAAAAATACGTGTTGGATACACTAGGGAAGATATCGACATCGAGCCGGAATGAATACACTTTTCATTGTAAAAATAAAAAAAAAAAATGCCAAGATAAATTTTATGGGTAAGGGCGCGATTTAAATATATATATATATATTTTTTTTTTCTCAAAGAATTTTTCTCAAGATCATAGTTTTATTTAGAGAGAACAACGTCACCACGACGCAATCGTTCGCTCAAAAACTACTTTATAAATATTAGCAAAAGATGAACTTTTAAAGAATGACAGAATGTTATATGGTTGCTGGTGTCGATAAAAATATTTTTATTCTAATAAATTTCAAAAAAAAAAATTACAATCTTTAAAGAAAGCAGTCCAAATAAGGAAAATTATTCTATATAGAAAAACAATCATCTCCAGCTTATATTTTCAATCCTTTAATTCTATGAATAAATAATATCTAGCATTTTCTTTATCCTTTTCACATTCCAATGTATCAACAGCTTTTATATCACCAGAAAACAAGTATTTAACAATTTTACTGATTAAATAATTTTGAATAAAATAAATACTACATTGATTTAATTGTTCATTTTTCTTTTTGAATCTCCTGCAATATTCCAAGAAAAGGTTTAAATTTATCGAAGGGGATTTCGTTGGATCCAATTGCATACCATTAAAAAATTCTTCATATAATTGTGTAGTTTTTTGTTTATTTAAACAGACCGTATACAGATGCGGATTTTTCTCACAAGCGTGTTGATAATCATATTGATGCTTCAGATCTTGAAATGATGATACAGCTAGAACGAAATCTAAATATTTTTCCATCAAAGCACACCTTGTATCGCTTGAAAGTTTTTTGAAATCTTGTTCCTTCTTATATTCCAATAAATTATCCAATATTAATTTTGACGTTTCCTTATAAATATATTTAAATCTATATCTATCAGCCATCACCAATGAAATGAGCGGTTTTTCTTGAAAATGCGCTTTCAAAAAATTATCCGCCGCTTCAATAACCATAACGAATTCATATTTATCGGCCAAATGACAAAATTCTATAATGTTTTCCCATGTTATAGGTATAAATTTATGTGGATACAAATATGATAATAAATTTTCGAATATTGTTGATGATGTATCGGTTAAAATTATACTCGGTATGTCTTCCTTTGAGGATATAGCGCATGTGAACATATCACGAAATACTTTTGAAGCTATGGATAAAATGTTTTTATGTATTCGAAATGTCACATCTTGCACCGTTACTAGAATATCACCATCTTCATAATAATGCACTGAACTATTCGAATTTTTTTGCGTCATCTTTTTTTATTTATTTTTTTTTTTTTGTTTGTAAAATGTAAGAGGAGGAATGAATGTTTGAAAAGAAAAAAAAAAAAAATATAAATTTTTTTTTGTTTTTATAATTTACAAAGTTGCACATCAAATGATTAGTAACTAATACATATGCCTTGTGTTTCAAAATGATCTGCATCGCATGCTCACATTAGCCGCAAATTGGTGCTAACCATTTTTCTAAAATTTTGTCCTCATAGAATGTATATGCAAAGTAAAATCCTATTTTTATCCGATATTGATATTGGTAAAAAAGAACATGAAAAAATTTTAGTTCTAGTGCCTATTATTCGATCCCGTTGTATTGGTTTGAAAGTTGATTGATCAATAAATATTAAGGGGTACCGCATAAGAACAATCGAAAATTTTTGTAAACGTCATTGTTTTTCTTTATTTGCGTTACTATTTTTTTTTTGTTTTTTTTTTTTTGCCTTATTAAAATACTGCGTCTCTTTGTTTGGGCAGGTTCGGCAACGTATAAATCAGGCAATCAAACTAAATAAACCTTTTTTTGATTTTCTGGGAAATTAGAAGTTAATTTAGCCATCGCTTTAACCTGTTTTGGCAATTTTTTTACTTTTATGATAACATAATGAGTAATAAATCTAACCTTTATTTTGTTGATTGGTTAACTTAGTTTAAGCTACAGATAAATTTATTATTTAGAACATTTAGAACTAAAGTTTTAAATAACATCACGTTACATAATTTAAATAATCATCTTACACTTGAAAATATCAAACCATATAGTTTGTACAAAAATTTTAAGAGTTTTAGAATATTTAGATCTGTTTATTCTTAATCCAAACATTATGAAAATACCTTTAAATAATTGGGAATAAAGAAATGAATAATTAGAAATGTTAATATCGTACTTTGAATATTTTAATGAATTGGCTAAAGTTTAAATTTTGACCAATTTGATCATAATTTTGTAAATTTGATAAAAAAAAAAAAAAAAATATGAAGAATTGGTTGTGTATCAAATATCCTAAATATAATTAAATTAAAAATAAATTTTTTGACTCTAATCGGAAAAATCTAGTAATTTAATGTTGTAATTTCAGTTTGAATTGCATCAATCGATGTATATTGTCTTATATAAAATTTATATGTAATCATTTTTGCATCTTGTAAACGTGAAATAGTTTTTTTAGATAATGAATACGAGTTGTAGATTAAGATATCTCGAACGTTGTCCAAGTGGTTTATATATTGCAAAGGAATCCGTATTAATACTGTAACTTTAAATTGATGAGAGATTTATTACATGTTGCTTGTTGTCAACGTTTGTCAACGTTTAAGTTTAAGTAATCAAATTTGAAGTAATATTCTATGATCGAATTTTTGATTTCTCACAACAAAAAAAAATATTATCTTTCAAATCAAAAAAAAATTAGATCGAGGTAAAGTTCAAGACTGTATTTATTTCGCGATTATATGCAATAATTACAATAATTTTATAAAAATCCACAAGTTTTATTCAATTCATCGTTCCTATTTATAAATTTCAATATAATAAATATTGGAGTGATAAAATAGATTTAAAAAAGACTATCCAACGAAATTAATTTTCAGAAATGACACATTATATTATATATCTTAAATATTTAAAAAGGTAACTTCATGTATCTTGGTTGACCGGTGTCGTGAATAATTTTTTATTGCCATCTTTAAAAATGTTTACGTTTTTTTGTTCTTTTGAATTAAAACTTAAACTCCTATCGACTCAAATTGCATTCAACGATCCTCTTTAATGTTCAAAATTCATAACTTTTCGAAATAGGTCTGGATAATAAATAAATCAATTATTAAGAATAGTAGTAATGCTTCTTTAAATAATTATGTTGGGGTATATTGTCTGGACATATTCCATTTTATCATCAATTTTCATTGCAATAAAATTCTAAAATTTTGCTTCCCTTTGAAAAATTATTATCCTGATTATTCTACTGAAACTGAACAGTTTTATATCCTGAAAACGTACATTTTTGGATTGAAAAATAGACGTTTGGAAATTTTAAAACTGAACATACAAGAAATTTTTTACATTAAATATACCGAAAATGTCTAGTCTGTTTTTTTGGAAATTTAATATTTCTAAAAATGGATAAATTAAATTAATCAATAAAAACGGAGCAGATACTATTTATTATAAGAAATTCAAATTTTGTAATTAATTTGTGATTGACTCGTATAGTAGAGTATTCGGCACGAAATACTGTCAAATGTCCAGATATTGTAGTATTTTTTTATTTGGCACAAAAGTTGTACAAAAGGGAAATCAAAATGTTCCAAAGTTGCATATTTTGAAACATTATGGAGATGTTTAAATATACCCAATCGTACCAAAATTGTCGAGATGAAAATGGTACATTTCAGAACTTTTTTTCCTGCAATATATATATTTTTATCCTCGAAATATTTTAACTCTTTAAATTCAGTAAGTGCTATTTTGCAAAGAATTTATCTCAGTTATCTCTTTGTTTTTGAATTGAACCAAACCTTTAAAGATAAAATTAACCGGTAAAGTTGCACTTATTAAAATAGATATTTATGATAACGTTATTATAAAAGAAGCAGCATTTTAAATAATAATCTTGATGATTCTATTAATGAATCACTATGATTATCATAACAATGTGGAAATTTACACAAAGATTTTACCAATATTTGGATCTCTAAATCCAAAAACATCTCTCTTGAACAATATTCAGAATGACAGATTACAGAAATTATTTATTATAGATAGGAATGGTTGTTGCATTAGACTTTGACACGTTGACGTACTTTAAATTATAAAGAAATTATTATGGAAATTCTTAATTTGTTAAAAAATGAAGCATGAAAATTTAGTCCAATTATCACGCAAATTTTTACGTGTTGAATTACTAAATTTTGTTAGAATTAATTGATTATTATTTTCAAAGTTAAATGGATTAGCCATCTATTTTTTATTTTATATAACCATCACGTTTTATTGATACAGAGACACGACCAGAAAAAAAGAAATTACGTATTAACCGTTCAAATTCTTGATTTTCACAAGAAACAATCTAACATGTAAGGTTCCTTTTTTAACTGCAATCATTTCTCCCTCGATGAAAAAATCCCGGATATGAATTTTTTTCTAATATATTTACAAATACCGACGATAAATTCAATTAAATATCAGATGCTTTGACTACAAGATCATCATATCTTGCAAGTTTTACGCTTGATCCAGCCTCCTTGATTTTTTTCCCTAAAATTTTATAATAATTATAAGTTGCGTTATAAACATTATATCTACTACCATATGCCAAATATTCCAAACTTTTGCTTCCCTTGACAAAATCCGTTATGACATCAAACATCAAATCAAAATTCCTGTTGCTCCTGGTCCTGATCAAAAACGTTTTGAGTTCCACCGACTTACACTCATAAAAAAATGTCTTTAGGTCATTGGAATCGTTAACGGGAAAGTAAAGATTCAGATATCTTAATTTAACTGGTAAATGTTGACCCAAGTTTCTTAACAAGTTTGAAGTGGTGTCCAAGGTGTGATTTTGATCATTCGTACTCGTATCCAATATTCTATAATGTTCCCTTATTTCTAATGTCAAATATTTGAGGGAATTGTCGTGACGCTTGATTATTTTAAAGATATGAGGGACATGTTTGTATGATATACTAATCAAGTGTAAAAACCTAATCCTTTCACAATGATTTAATGCTGACACGAGTAATTCTTCCGATCTGTTCCCATTAAGAGATAACGTCAAACATTCGATGCCCATACCGAACCTTTCAAGTAAAACGTTGGCCATTGGATTATCCGATTCTAACATCATGTATATCTTATTAGTAAACATGATGGTCAGAATCCTAATCTTGAGGGTGGAGATGTTGACTAACGGTTGAATTGTATTCTGAGTCAAAGATTTGCAATTTATAAATTGAAGTGATTCGAGATTCGTGAGAAATTCGAACCCTTCAAACTTACAACCGTTACGAAAATTACACTCATTAAATATGACCGAAGTTAAGGAGGAACAATCTTTTAGGAATTTAAAAGAATGAAGTAGATCAATATTAACACTCTTAAAGGATATCGTGGAAAGTTGAGATTGAGAACGAACCAATGATGTAATATCTTTTGAAACATCATTAGAAATATGTTGCAGGTTTAAAGTTTTGATGGAAGTGCAATGAAATGGTAATGAGGAGAAGAAAGGTTGAAGTTTTGATAAGCCGTTTTGTTGAATGAGATAAAAACTTTGCGTGCAGCTAAAGTTAATCGTTAAATGTTTGCTCTTGGAGAAAAAGTTTGAATTATCTAACATCAACTCATAAACTTCATTCCAATGTCGCTGTTCGGATGAATAATTTAAATTCATAACAAACGTATTTAAGGTAACATTATTTTGAATTAATAATTTCAACAAGGTAATATAAATAAATTTCGTCGATTTACTTAAAAAGATTTGAATAAAGATAGCTCGTCGTCTAAGGGAGGTCAGGCAATTAGGAAGGATGGACAGACAATGATATCGAGCAAGTTGAGAGTATTGAGCGGTTAGAATTGTTGAGGTCGTGGACATAATATCATCATTACTTTCATTATTAGGGATGATACGTAGTGGTGTTGTTAACAAATCGGTCTTACTCTCCGGTGAGGACCTCTCTTCTTCCATTAAATTAAGATTTATCCAAGTTTTTATGGAATTTTCTAATTTGTAAGTATCTAAAACTTTAATAAAACTTGGATAATTGAACAGAGGAACCAATGATAATTTATCAATTCTTCCAACTCCCAATTTCCTTAAAGACTCCTTATCATCATCATTTAAACATGATAGGTATATATCAAGATTATGAAGATTTGTTTTTTTGGTATTCTTTGCAGAGAAAGGATTCTCCCAAAGTATTGGAATGGTTAAACGACTCCAAAATCGATTTACTAGGGCGCATGAATAAAGTGATGA